ATTATTACATGGAAGATAATACAGGCAAGAATCAGAACTGGTACAAGACTGTTTTGGAAGTTTGATGAAGTGCAGGATATTGGCATAACAGTGGTATTTTTCCTAATGAAACATTGCATAAGTATAAAATGATAATCACTATGTAGATATCTAGCAGACACAGACTTGACCAGGGCATTCCCCATGGTGGAGCATTTCAACATAGCATGGCTTCCCATCTGATGCACTGGAAAGAGCTGAGCATCATTTCTACACACTGCTGCTAAGAATTCATGGCCTGAATCTGATCAAGAGTCATCTACTTAATGAAAGTCAAGTACTATTCTTGAAGACTTCCAAAGGCTGAGTTATTGACACGTTGAAAGATAGTAAGACATGACAACTAAAACAGATATTATTAGGACATCTGCAGTGGATGGGGTATGGTTTGCATAGGATCTGTTGAGCTTTTTGCTAAGTTTTTAGTTGCTATGGGTCAGCCTGATGGCATGTTCCTACTGAATCTTACAGGAAGAGTTATGTCTGGTTTTCTGAGAAACCACCAAACTGCATTCCAGAGAGGCTGTTCCATTTTGCATTCCCACTAGCAGGGAATGATAGTTCTCTTGCTCCACATTCTTGTTTGCATTGAGTGTTATCAGTGTTTCATATTTTGGTCATTCTAATAGGTATATGAAATGTCATTGTAGGTTGCATTTGTATTGTGGTCATATGGTGTGGTGCATCTCTATATGTTTATTTGCTATCTGCATATCTTCTTTGATATGGTGTCTGGTGAGGCCTGCCTCAGTTTTTTAACCAGATTATTTTCTTATTGTTGAAGTTTTAGAACTTTTTAAAAAAGATTTATTTATTTGAAAGGTAAAATGAAGTAGGAGAGTTGGAGATTTTCCATCTGTTGATTCACTCCCTCAGTGATCACACTGACTGGGATTGATCGGTTGACCAGAAGTCAGAAATTCTATCCTGGGGCCCAAACTGTTCTGGGACTCTGAGTGGCAGGGGCCCAAGCGCTTCCCAGGCTCAAAGCAGAGCAGAAAGATGGGATGCAGGCCTCACAAGTGTCAGCTTAATGCACTGTACTGCAACAGCACCAGCTCTGAATTTCAGCAATCTTTGGCTATTGTGAACAATAGTGCGTTATCAGAAGTGTCTTTTACATATATTTTCTCCTGTCTGTGGCTTATCTTATTCTCTTGATGTTGTCATTTATAGAGATGTTTTTACTTTCAATGAAGTCTAATTTTTTTCTTTGATGACTATTTGGTTCTGTATCTGAAACACGTCATTACCATATGCAGTCATTGAGGTTTTATTCTAGTGTAGAAACTATCTCTTAGATTTTGGTTTTACAGTTTTATGCTGATCGACTTTGCAAAAGGGGAAAGTCTGTGTCTGGACCATGGGTTTTGTTTTTGGTTTTGAGGTGTTTTTTGTATGTTAATGTCCAGGTTTTTATAGACACATATATTGTTGCACATGTTGAGAACGCTGTCTTTACTGTATTGCTTTTGCTCTTTTTGTCAGGACTCAGTTGAAAATATTTATGGGGATCTATTTCTGAGCTTTCTGTTCTGTTGATCTGTTTTGTACTTTCACAAGTACCACATTGTCTTGATTATGTAGCTTTATTGTAAATGTTACACTCGTGTACAAATGTTCTTGCCCTTTAATATTCTAATACCTATTCTGGGTCTTTTGGCTCTCAGGATAAACCTTAGCATCAGTTTGATACTCACAGAGGGACTTGCCAGGATTTTTATTGGAATTGTATTGAATCTATAGATCAAATTGGAAAGAACTTACATCCTGACAGAATTTCGCTTTCCTATCCATGAATATGGAATATTTCTCCATTTATTTAGTTCTTTGACTTATCAGTTTATAGTTTTCTTCATCTTGATTCCATATTTTATTAGATTTATACCAAAATATTTTCTTTTTAGGACTGCTAATGTAAACTACATATATTTCCAATTTCAAGCTCTACTTGCCCACTGCTGGCATTCAGGAAAATGATTGACTTTGGTGTATTTTTATATCCTGCAACCTTGTTGTAACTGCTTATTAGTTCTGGGAGCTTTCTTTGAAAATTTTCTACACAGACACATTCATGTCCTTTGCAAAAAGACCATTTTTTTCCTTTCTTGTTAATTAATATGCTTTCCCTTGTCTTATTGCATTGGCTGCCACTCCCAGTGTGATGTTTAAAAAGAATGTTTAAAGGATGTCCTTGCCTTATTCCTGATTTTAGCAGAACATTTGAGTTTTATGGATATTCTTCACCAAGTAGAAGAAGTTTGCCTGTGTACCTGGGAGTTTTTGCTGAACAGTTGTTGAATCACGTCAAAGGCTTCTGCATTCATGAATCTTGAAGCTACACTGCTGTCCAGCTGGCTAACCTTTCCCCGACCTATTACTTCTTTACCTCTGTTCATGTACACTCTGATTCTTTCCATTTCCTTTTTTAGTGGGTGTTCCTTAGAATTAACTCCTTTAGTTGCTAAGTAAGCCACAAACATCCAGTTTAATGTGCGTATAGAAACTAAATCCACCTGTCTTTGTTCATGTGGGCTCAATTTCTGTAACAACTCATTTGTAGAAATGGGCATCATGGTCGCGTCCACAGCTCAATGAAATGCTCAGGCATTGATAAATATTCATAATTTTCTACGAGTTAGTCTTCATTAAGTTCTGTGGGTTAGTCTGTCTCTGCGTTATGACCAACTCAAGGCCTTCAACTCCCATTTCCTGCAAAGTGGCTTAGTAATGATGTTGGTGACACAGAGGTTCTGCCCCTGCCTGTTTGTTGAAGTAGGTTCTTCCCCACATTGGATTTTTTATACGTAGATCTCAGATGCTAATTTTGAAAGTTGTCACAGAACTCACTCTGGAGAATAGTGATTATCCAGTATCTTTACCCTGATCAGCTAGTTCCAAAAACTTCAGGAGTTGCCATTCTGAGGTCAACTGAGGGTCTGCCTAACCTAGTTCTCATTTGCTATTAGCAAACCTTTGCAAAGTGAGGCATTCTATTAGGTCAAATTAGAATTCTTTTAGCTCCATACTACCTCAGCTTTTTGTGACTAAATTGTAATTAAATCTGTCTAGATCCATTTTTAGTCCATTCATGGTTTATGCTTTTGCTGTGTATCAGATTAATGAGTTCCTATTTAGTACCCAACTAAATTTGTCATCTTTCAGAGAATACTGTTTAGAAATTCTACAGCATTTTAAAAATTTTGCAGGCCAATGAAAAGAGAAACTATAAAATAGAATATGAATTAATAAAAAAAAATACATTTCTTCTTGGGTAGAAAATTACATATGGATGTGGTCAGGAGTGCTGCAGGTTTAGGACTGCAGGGCTATCTACCTTGTGTTCCTAGGTGCTGGAGGACTGTGACATGTCTCAGAACAGTGTGCTAGATAGACTTCTTTGAGGCACACATTACAGTGCTTTGGCTGTGAGTTTAGTGTTAATGAATTAAGTGTGTGTTAAGTAGGTGTCTTGAGTAGAAGCATGCATAAAATAAAATTGTATGTTGACCGATTTTTAGGAATGTTTGAAAGGTTCACAGGGGTTAATTTATAACTCCATATATTTCTTTGGGGTGATGCTTCAGTAATTATTAATTCAGTATTTATAGGGCCATTATAGAAAACAACTTAACATTAGTACCGGGAGTTGAGTATATAATAGTTCAGAATGAAAAGGGATATTCAGAAGACTTTACTTTTGGTGTATACAATGTGAAATGGTAAATACTTTTCAAATAGTGATATATTCCTTGCTAAAGAAAAAAAGACCTTTTTACTCTGATAGTTTATATTCAGTTTCATCTGTTTACTAACGTTGTAATTCTAAAGGTAGAATTGTATTTTACTAAAAATTACAAATGACTATATATGATAAATTAACAAGTATTAGTCTTACACAATCGTGATATTCTTAGATTTTTAATATCTTTGTGACAACTCTGCTGGCTTGCAGAGCCTGATAGACTTACCATGTACAGCTCTGAATGCTAATCAGCTGACTTTTGGTACTTTGGGTGAGGAATGTCTTACCAGACTCATGGATGAATTAGCTAATTGCATTTTATCATGTAAAGAGATATATGAAAAGAGAAAGAAAAGACAAGTTGATTGAAAATCAAAATGAGAAGAAAAGATAATTGGCATATTCTTCAGTTTTCTTCTGATCACACATTAGACAAAAGTTGCATTGGAAACTCATCTGAATAAGGAGCAGACGTGCTGAGCATGTTCTTCAGGTTCTGTTTTAACTGTTGTATATGTAGATGCTGATTTTTGTCTGTAGCAAGATGTGGGGTACTAACATGGCGTTTTTAACTTCAGCATTGATTGAAGTCTCTTTGATGCACTTTCTCCTGTATTAATGTGAGGAGATAAATTTTATCTCTTGTTTAGGTAAGCAGTTACTCTTCTAATGCAGGATCATTTCTAATTTAGATTTTTGGAAATGAGAGAGGGAAATGTGTTATTTGAAACCAGTTGTTGGCTAAGCCAGAGTTCAGAGTGAGCTCTTTTGTTATCTTCATTCAGCAACTGTATAGGAAAGCATTTGTAAACCGTTAAGCAGTGCAGTAATAGGAATAGTTCTTTCTCCTTGTTAAACAAACACCTTTTTTCAAAAAAAATTTTTTTTATTTCTAGTTTTATCTAGTGCAGATGTTTCTCCTGCCAAAAGTTCTTACTAATGATTATTGGACCTTTGAGTTCTTACTTTGTGCTTTATAATCTTAGAAAGTGACTTCCATCAGGTGTCTGAAAGAAAACTTCAAGAGTTTGATGAGTGTCATAATTTCATAGGTGGGAAAACAGAGGCATTGTTTCCTGGCAAATTCCAGCGTCTGCTTTCCTAGTGTGCTTCATGGGTGGTTTTTTCTTTCTTTTTTTCCTTTTATAAATATCCCTGCTTTACTGCTGCTGAGAATGATTTTATTTTGCAACAGCTAATGTATTTTCTCTTTCAGAGATATTCCCATGCCCTTGGTCAGCTCAGGAGTGGAGCATGGCAATTTGAGAGAGCTAGCATTTGCAAGAATGAAAGACCTTGGAATACAGGTAAGAGAAAATATGGCTGTCAGACCGTTAATGTTCAGAATGAAAATAATCTGAAACACAGAAGTCTATGGTACTGCTGCACTTATGGACTGATCTCACGAGTCAAAGGGAAAAGCTTCCATCTTGTGGGGGCATTCTTCTCTGTAACATATTGAAGGTGAAGCCAGTGGTAGCAAGAGCTGTATTCTATCCCTGTATCTCCTACTGCCCTCTACCCAAGGTGGTAAGTCTTTCAAAGTTTTAAAACCTATGTTTTATTTGTTGTGTTTGCAAAGCAGAGATACAGTGCAGGGTAAGGGTGGAAGAAAAGATAGAGCTCTCAGTTACTGGTTCACTGCCCAGGTGCCTACAACAGACCAGGACTGGGCCTGGTCAAAGCAGGAGGTAGTCTAGGTGGTGACAGGGACCCAACTATTTGAATAATGACTTGCTATCTCCCAGAATATTCATTAGCAAGAAGCTAGAATGAAGAGCTGGGTCTGATATTCCAGTGTGGCTGCAAGTATCCCAAGTGACAGCTTAATCACTATGCCAAACACCCACTGCTTTCTTTCAATTTAATGATTGGTTTTTCTACATACTCATATTGCCTACTATGTACTCAACCCCTCTTTAAAAAAATTTTTTTTTCTTTTGAGGTATTGGATATTCGATTCTTGATTAGCAGGTTATAAAACAAAGGTGTGATTCTTCAAAGAAAATTACTTATTTGAAGATCCAAGGGTTGTGTTATGAAAAACAAATTGTCAAATAATGCTGTTTGCTAACAGTATCCCACCCCATGTCTTTTCAAATCACTTATTTGTTCACAAATATTTACTGAACCACTCCTCTGTGCTGGCTCTGGAAGTATGGAGAGCTCAGGAATCTGAAATCTGATGGTCTCTGTAGGTAATTATTAAGTCATATAGGGTTTGAAATTCAATGCCTGGAAACTTCTTAACACTTTTAAGGGAGTGAGTCAGGAAAGGTACATGGGACAGAGCATTGATTCCTAGCGCTGCCTTCAGAGATTGGGATTCGCGAAGTTGGAATGTTGTCACAATATTTGATTTTATCCAGCACTAATATGCATGTTTCTCATGCACAGTTTACACTTAGACCAGACTTTGAAAAACATTGTTGTGAAGATTGCATATTGTGTTTGTGGACCTGCCTAAGACATCTCATTCAAAATTTTATCATGGGGAAAATCAGTTTGAAGAATGTTCAAAGGTTGTTTTCTGAACATTACTGGTTTATGCTACCCTCACCTCCAAATTAAAAGAAAAAAGCAGTGATGAAAAGTTTCAGTTCTAGAAAAACAGCAAATACATTTGTAGTCATTGACAGCAGCAACAAACAAGGTTTTGTGCCTGTAGTGCCTTGCAGTCTCCATTAGTCCTGCTATCCATTCCCTCTTAGCTCTGAGAATACCTGTGTTGAGGTCATTGCTAGACCTTGGCTATGGTGATAATCTCATTTCCCATCCATCATCATTAAAAACATTGCTAGTCCATTTTAAAGGAAAACTGGGATTCAGTCTAAGTGGAACCTCAATGATAGCCAAGACATCTAGTTCCCATAGTCAGTATCTTTATCATAAGGTAACCACACATCAGTTTTTGCTCTTAAAGGCACGCCAGAAAGAGAAAGGACCCAACTGGCAAGGTTCCACTGAGAGTATATAACTATAATGTGCTCATATGTAAGCTGCTCGTCAGAGCTGCTGCAGTAACTACAGCATTTGCGGTCAATAGAATAATAATGAAAGATATGTGATCTTTGTTTGCTCCGCAATTTTTGTTTGCTGTAGAACATGGAATTTATATCAGTAAAATACTTTCTTGAGTGTAGTTCCTGGGACTTGGAAATAATCTTAGTTCTTATAATGATAGGATCTTCTTATTAATTTGTTTTTTTAAAGGCATTGTAAATTGTGTTCATACTTAATATATATTTATTTTTTTTAGTCATGCTGCAGACGGGTTGAACCGTGCTTAATTTTGAGCCCGGAATTTGGTGAAGAGGTTTAAATAACAGTTGAATTTGTTACCAGCCTTATGTTTGATTCTTCTCTACCCCATTCTTTTTGGCAGTGTCGAGATGTGAGAACCAGAGAAGTTGGAATACAAGAAATTCATCACAAAGTACGGCCATACCAGGTGAGTTTTTATATTTTCTGGAGAACTTGGTGCTGAGCTTGGTTAAGTTTGCCAATCCTGATTTAACTCTAAGTAGAAAGTATTGAAGATTAGATATAAATTCCAAGGCAGGAAAGCCAAATATGAGGGTGACTGAATGATAGAAGAGTCAGGTTGGTAAAACCAAATCTGAACATCTTCCTGGATCAGCACTGTCCAACAGAACTCTTCAGTGTTGGAAATGTCCAGTCATTCAAGCCATCCACCAAGGTAGACACTAGTAGCTCGTTATTGTTGCCACTTGAAATGTGGCTGGTACAAATACTGTCTTGGCAACTTGGGTTTTATTTTAATTAATTCAGCTATAAATTGCCAGATGCAACTAAGTGGCTACCTACAGAGAAAACATGATGTGTGATAGGCTTATCTTTTTGTATGCATCTGAAAAACTATTGCCTGTTGGTGAAAATCACATGAAAAGATTGACTTTTACCATTCAGGGTTCCTCAAAAATTGGGTATAATGTCCTAAAGCATTCAGTGTGTGTCACAAATTAACTCTCTTGTATCCATCTGTAATGTCCAGCTGTGTGCCAGATGTTGTATGAGCTTTAACTGATGTGGAGCCGATTTCAGATGCTGAATGATCATCTCTGCATCTGTTCTTAGCATAAAATATTCACTTGTCATTTTTCACACAAAGGACCTTGTGAAAGAAAAAGACCCAACACTTCATAATTTTGCCAAATTCTTAGTATTTTCATTATTTAGTTATTTAGCAAACAGAAAGTTAGTGTGAGATGTAAGTATTGGTTTGAACTTTTTACCTCATTGAATATATTCTGTCCTGTTACAGGATGTGTTTGAGAGTAACTGTGTAGAAATATGCAAGTTTCTCAGTATACTGAGAAACTATATACTGTTGCATATTTATAAGTATGCAAAATGCAAGGGCCATTTGTTAAATGAAATGAAGAATCAGAAGGTTTTAGGTTGCCACCATAAATGCTTTCCCCCAAAAGTTGACTCTCCAGAGATTGAATTTTCTTTTCATATTTTTATCTCCTAACTAAGCATGTATTGTAAGAGCCCTATATGATGTCACACTTGCTTAAAATCCCATCAAAGGGTAAGTGGCCAGAGTCACATTTGTTTTTTGAAAAGATATTAATAGGGGAAATAAGGCTAGAAAATGAACCATTGAGCACCTGACAGTTTAAGAGCAAAACTCTCAAGAGCTATGTATGATTTGTAATCTTGTCTCAGATTGTTCCTCAAGTCAAAGGTTTAAATATGTAGAAGCATTTACAGAACTGAATAGCTATAAGAGAACCTAAAGGATAATGATGTTCAAGTATTTGTAGAATTGTAATGCTTTTCCTTTTATAAGAGTCTGAACTATTATGTACTTTTATTTAATCTTGATGCTATTTGAGAGTAGACAAGTAAAAAGAAATAATCAGTGCTCATTCTTTTTTCTTGTAACTGTTAGCATATATACAATTACAGAAATCAACTTAGTTTTGTAATTTTGAAAAACATTTTGTTCTGGCTTTTTATTAAATAGGTTGAGTTGGTAAGAAGAGATTATGTTGCAAATGGTGGCTGGGAAACATTTTTATCATACGAAGACCCAGATCAAGACATTTTGATTGGCCTGCTACGTTTACGAAAATGTTCTGAGGAAACCTTCCGTTTTGAATTGGGTGGAGGAGTTTCCATAGTCCGAGAGCTACATGTATATGGAAGTGTAGTCCCTGTGAGCAGCCGAGATCCTACTAAGTTTCAACATCAGGTACCTTCCATTTCTATCTGGCTCAGAATTAAGAAATTACCAAAAGTAGGAACAGAGAAAATGAATGGGATGAGGAAGGGATGAGGGGGTCAGATGGGCAGGCAAGGGGGAAAAGGAGGCAAAACACAAGGGAACCGTGTCTCTGCACTGCACAGTTCACAATGGGGACCAAAAAAGGAGGAGGGAGACAGATTCAGTCAGATGAAACATACCCAATTGAACCATACAAAATTAATGTTTCAAAGTCAAAACTGAGGCTGGCATTACGGTACAGTCAGTAAAGTCACCTATAGTGACAGCATTCCATATAGGTGCCACTTCATGTCCTGGCAGCTGCACTTCTGCCAGGGAAAATGAGCGGAAAATGGTTCGAGTATTTGGGCATCTGCCACCCGTATGGTAGACCTGGAAGAAGTCTTTGGCTCCAGCTGAAGCCTGGCCCAACTCTGGCTGTTGGGACCATGTGAGCAGTAAACCAGTGGATGAAAGATCATTCTCTGTCTTTCCCTCTTTCCCTCTGTAACTCCAGCTGTGTATATATATTTTATATCTATAATTTCAAAAATCTTGTGTTCTTATTTGTTTTTAACAACCACCTTACACAAGTTTTTGTGTATATAGATGAAAAAGAAGGAATTGTAGGGACAGACGATTGGTGCAGCAGTGAGGTTGCCACTTGGAATAGCCACATCTCTTGTGTGAGTTCCTGGTTCAAATCCCAGCTTTTCCAGTTCCCACCCAGCTTTCTGCTGATGCAAGCTGTGGGAGGCAGCAGATGTTGGCTCAAATATTTGGATCCCCACCACTCATGTGAGAGATCTCGATAGAGTTCCAAGCTCCTGGCTTTTGCAGGTATTTGAGGGGTGAAATTAGTAAATGGAAGATTTTTGTCACTCTGCCTTTCAAATAAAGTGAAAATAAATAAATTTTAAAAGAGGAATTATATAAATTGAACCAAATGGACAGAATGAGCCTGCTGTGGATCCATTTGTAATATTAATTATAATGGGCAGTTATTCATTTTCATGGAAATTTTGGTTATCATTTGATTTTACCAATTCCCCAAATGTTCAGTTTTCTTCTAATTTTGATGCCCTTATATGGTCTTATTTAATTGATTATCTAGTTAGAACTGATAATACAAGGAGCTCATGTTCTCAACTAGTTTGTTTAAATTCAGAAGCCTTAAAACCTATTCTATAACTTGCCTTAGAATAGAGCTGTTTATTTCAGTCCCATGTTAATGTTATAAATTAAGCCAGGCTGTAAATAACCATTTTATTCTCCTACACTTTCACTGGCACATATCCTGCAGGAAGTATAGTGGAGAAGTAAGAAGCGATTCCGGCCCAGTGTTAAACTCCACCTTGACCTACCTGAGCTTCATATAATTGATGCACTAAGAGAATTCAACTCCCCTTACTGAAGTCACACCCTTCATTTTTTGTCCCATTTTAAAGGCTTTTGATAATGTCTGGAGTCTAAGAACGTGAACTTCTGATACCTCCAATCATCCAGTCACTCAGAAAATACCTACCAAGCAATCGCATGGCCTAAGAACCAAAGCAGTAATCTGATATAGTTTTCCATTTCCAAATTGTGTATGCTGTGGGTACTTAATAAATCCTCCCAGACTTAGTCACTCTGGATTGAATGTGCTGTTTCTGCCAGTGCTGCTGCCTGCTCTAAAGGGCATCTCCTGTCTAGCAGCCCCCAGCACACACCCCCTGTGTCACTTCTTGCTGTAACCCTTGGTTCATACTGTTTCCCTTTCTATGTGAAAAGGAACATACAAGGAGAAAATACATGCGTATAAACATACATGGTGATCTGTTCTTGCTGCTGCTACTGCTGCTGTTTTTAATTTTTTTTTAAATTTTTTTTATTATTTTTTTTACTTCTGCTATCTCTTGTGCTCTAACAGCCATGAAAAGGAACTGGATATAGGATCATCCCCAATTGGTAGATAAGCAAGTTGAAGTACAAACTATGATAATATATTTTTAATAGTTCACATGACCATTTTAGGATGAAGCCATCACAAAAATTCCAGGATTTTCCAACTATAGTATACTTTATAAATTCTAAATCAGTCAGGCCGTGTGGACTAGCCTGGCAGGTTTCAGCAGAGGAGATATCAAAGAAAAACAGATCCAAGCCTCTTTGAAGAGATAAGTAGCCAGAGTTGGCACTGATCTTGAACTCCAACTTTCAAATGAGTAGATCTGTAGCAAAAAGTAATAATTGCTCTAGCAGTTTATATGCATGGGCCAACTTGTTGACTCAAATGAGAAGGTCACATCCCCCAAAAGCCTAAAATTAATAACACATTTTACAATTTCAGGAAAAAATTTTTTTTCTGAAAACTACCAATGGTGGAGACAGGATGGGCCTCAGAATTGATAACTTAGAAATCTTACCTTTTCCCCAAACCCTTTTAGAGCAAGAGGAATGCCTCTAATAAAGGACTTATGGCTGCAGATTTCAATCCCTGAGACATCACCTAGAGCTTATCCAAAAAGAGACAAAAGCAGAGAGTATTACCGCTTGCTGTGACTGGGTTATGTCATTCATGAAATACCTTTTGATGGAAGGTTATACCTTTTTTACCAGTCTGCTACTGTGTACTTTTGGTATAATTGGATGATTTTTCTTTACTCCTACAAATGGGTTTTTGTCCTTATTTTAGCAAATTTAGCAATTACTAAATTATAACCTTCTTGTCTCATGAGTCCTTCTTAATGGACTGCCATCCAGTCTTGATCCACCAACCTCTTTTGTGTCTCCTTACAGGGATTTGGCATGCTGCTGATGGAGGAAGCAGAAAGAATAGCTCGAGAAGAACATGGATCTGGGAAAATCGCTGTTATATCAGGTAACTGGGGAAGGCTGAAGTTCATGATTCATTCACATTTTCAAGTTGGTAACATGGTAGAAACTAACTCACCACTCTCTTACACCTGCCTAGGAATATTATGTTCAGAATTGTGCCAAGCTGATTGGTGAGGGACTTGTGCTCAAACGTAAATAAAATTCATGAGAACAGTTGGGTGAACAAGAGCTTTCAGAGTTGTGCTGTGTTTCTGAGAGTGCCAGGAATGATAATCCATATCCTTTCTTCTTCACTGCCTGTCACATTGGCCTTCATGGTTAAGTCTCCTGTGCTTTGTGCCCAGTAACTTTGAGATAGTGGAACTTTATGATAGTGATCCAAGGAAAATAAAAACCAGTTATCGTTGATTATCACCATTGCTGTTCATTAGTATTATTGCTGTGTGAGGCAGACTTCTTGATCCTTAAATATTGTTCCTAGTGACTTTGTTCTTGGAGAGGAGCTTTCTCCTGTTTAGGAGGGGAGGGGCAGAAAAGGTTTTTCTCAGTCCTCTTAGCGTCACCGGCTAGGTCTGACAGTGAAACTGGGCAAATCAGATCAAGAAGGAGAAAAGCAATAGATATTTACTGGATACAAATTTGACAGAACATGGTAACCTCTGTAAAGAAATGAAGGCTGAAAGAAGCAAGTTGAACCGAATATTTTAAATCTGTGTTTGATGAAGTGTGGAAAGTTGTGGAAAACTAGAATACATTAAAGAAGTATGAGGTAAGGGTAATAATACATAGAGAGACATTTAGGAGATTCTGTTCATCCAGATTCCTCTTGCATGTGTCCTCCAGGTATAGGGAGGCCACCTCTCACTGAGGATCTTACAATTTGTTTCAGAGGATAAGGGCCCGGAAAGAATCCTTCCTGCTACCTCTCGGATTGCTTTAGGTTATAATATTTTCTGGTCCAAGGTACAGTATTTAGGGAGAGTGAGTGTAGTTCCTTAACCCTGTCTTTATAACAAGCTTCCCACTCCTTGTCTAGGACCTCAGAGAATTGGAGAAGTAGCCATGAAAAGGAAATTCTGTCATGAATGCAATGGGAAATGCTGTGTACTCCCTTCCTTTCCTGTTCTTCAGTATGAGATCTTTATAGAAAGTGCTCTGTCTACTAGGAACCAATATGATAAAAGGCAAGATCAACATTTAGGTTATTTTTCCTCTAGCATTTGCTTCTTTTGTCATTAGACTGCCACATTCCTAAAGCTGAGAAATATTCTTTTCTGACAACATAAGTAGAAATGTAGTTAAAAAAAATACAAACTGTTCCTTATCAATAAATTAGTCTCTATTCTCAGGCTTCAGGTTTATAATTAGAAAAACACAGTGATGTGGGCTTACTTAAGCATTTTGTGTAATTGTGAATTTTGACATTCAGACAGATGAATAGAGCATATAACACGTCTAACTACTTAGTTTTTCTCCATTATCTTTAGTTTCATAAAGAAGAGTTAACTATATGATGCTCATGTGATTAGTACTGACATCTGTTATGAAAATATTTGTCTTACAACTATTTAATTGGCAATTGACCAGAGGTATCAGGAAAGTGCCATACTGACTTACATTGATAACACCTTTTGCGGTCCCTTATGTGAGAGCCCTCTTGGTGTTTTCTGGAAAGTACCTCTCAAACTTTAATATGCTGACAGATTACCTGGAAATCTTATTAAAATGTCTGGATCAGTCTGGATCATTGGGGTCTTATGGGGCTTGGGAGTCCATAAGACTCACCAATTCCCAGATGAAACCTGTTACTGATTGAGGCCACACTGTGAGTAGCAAGGTTTTCGTGTGCTTTTCCAAATATCATCTTCTCTTCCTCATCATTAAAGTGATGACTATTCTCTGGCCCTGGCTGTGCTGCATTCCCAATGTCAGATACACAATCACGTGATTTTTTGGTGTCTATGGGTACCTAATAAATTTTAAAATTTGGGAGCATCCATATTCCATTGGTGCTAGACATTGTCTCATTTGGCTTAATGATATCTATCTCTTTTTAGAACTCTTACTTGCAGAGAGGGCTTTTAACTTGCCTGAGGTCCTATCTAGTCACTCCTAAGAGCCTTGCTTTGTACTCTTTATGAGCAGGGTGTCTTTCTAAATGGAAATCAGCATCTGTCCTCTTTCCAGCTTTTTATCATAATCTAAATAAGAGCTCAATTTCAGATCATCTGCATGTAGAATTTCTAAAATAACCAGAGACTTCCTCAAAGTAATATGTAAAAGCCTTTCTGCTTGTCTGCAGATACAGCAGGTCACTAGATTTTTGAAAAGGTTTCTTTTGGCCAGCAGTTTCCATGGGAACAGTCCTAGAATGCTGACCTGGAACTAGAATGACTTCTTCAAGAGGAAGAACATGTTAAGAGTTACCAGTCCTGGCCCTCCAACCTGGGAGCCCCACTGCCCCCACAGGGGAGCCAGCACAGACCTCGACTTGTTCTTTGACTTGAGCTCTGATCACCCTTCTTTGCTCTGTGAATGATGCATGTTACTTCTGTAATTAAGTAATTTGTTGTGGTTATATTTAAGTTTCCAAATCAAACACTTGAGTTGTCTGTTACCCAACACTGCATGGAGGGAGGGCAGTTGCAAATTATTTATAGCATGATTTTAATGTGGTTTTTTTCCCCTTATATGTTCATTAATTTTTTTTCTGACTTATGTGTGCATATGTTATGTGTGTGTGCTTGTGCTTTGTTTTTTGTTTGTTTGTTTTGTTTTTTGTGAAGAGTCAGAGGTACTGGATCTCTGTAAACTGATCCTTAAAATAAGAATTCCTTTACAATAATGTTGGGGTTTGTGGGAGCTGCATTTTCATTTAGAGTATTTCACTCGATATGATATCTAAGAGGCTCTGATGTAGAGGGCAAGGCTGGTGCCAGGATTCCATTCCCGCCCTCCTAAGCAGCTCTCCTTGTGCTCTACAAAGATTTTATTTGATCTCATGGGACTTTATATCCATATTAAAAACAACTGGAGTAGGTTATCCTAAACAACACTGTCCGGAATTCTTCCCCTTCAAATCTTACCTTCTTTACTTCTCAACATGGATTATGTTTTACTGGTTATAATTTAACTAGATTATTTTCTAACAACATATACAAAGCTTTAATTATAGCAGTAAAATTGATTTTGATCTCGCTGTAGATTGGGTGTTTGATCATGAAAATAATGATGATAAATCTTCTCATAGTTAATCCTATCCAGGATTTGTAGATGGACATTGGTCATACTTGTGATACCTTGTGATCCAAATGCCCTGCGTTCTTTTTGACCTTCTCCTGATTTTGTAACTCCATAATTCTTCTGGGTCTCTAGGTTTGTGTATGAGTCATACTCAGGGGTATGTGACAGTGCTGGCCTAGATATTTTGTCCTTGCATAACTAGTAGCTTGAGTAAGGGAGAGACAGAACCATTTATCATTTTGGTTACTCTGACAATAAAAGTAATGGATTTTTGTAGAACTTCTTTCAAAAATTGCAATCAATTCATTAAAATTCCTTTCACCTCCCTAATAGAAAACAGTTTTTTTTTCTGTTACTTGGGTATACAATTTTTTGGTTCTGCTTCTAGACAATATTGTTAACTAAATAGATTTAAATCTCTACTCAGAAAGGTTATTCTTTTTCCCTATTAAAAAATAAAATTTTTTCATCTGTAACCTCAATGCATTTTTATAGCAATATATATTTTATAGTTGATTATCTTTTTCAGAATCATTGCTTACCTTTATAGCTACATGAGAAAATTGGAAGCCTTCCTCATTTGTCAAAATTAAGCTAGAATTTTATTAGGCTTATTCGTTTTTTTGAAGTATATATGCATTTCTTAGTAAATTGGGTTTTCAACGTTAAGTATCAATTATAGGCTTGAAAATTAGAGCAAAAGTGAAATGTTTAGCTTTACTAACATCAAAATCACCCCGTGTGTTGATTGAGAAGATAAACAGAAGAATGAGATAAAGCCTTAACTTCCAAAAATGTCCATATTGGGTTAGGCTAGCAACTCCATTTTCACCTCAGGATTAATCATTTAAAATAAGAAAATTGTTTCTTTTACAGACAAAAAAAATAGGTAAATTAGTGTTGTAAGAACAACCAGTATATTAAATGATATGTGGGCAGGAAATAACAGTTCATTGCTACTGAATGTATAAGTAATTAGTCCCTATTAAGTCCAAGTGTTTTAACCTTAACCAACTCACTCCTACGTCTTCTGTCATTATCATCTATTTAACACAAATAGGTTTTATTTACATTGATGTTTACCTACTTTGATGTTATCTTTTAAAATACTAAGATACTTTTTCTCTTCCCTGTCTTATGGTGTGAAATGCAAGGAATTATACTATAGATGCTAGCCATAACATGTGAAATGCCATCACTAATAATCACCATGGAAACGAGATTTCTGATGTCACACTGCCGGTACCATTTCCAAAAGGGCAAATATCTGTTGATAGCCACTATTTAAGAAGCCATTTAACACCTCCAACAGAATGATTTCTCTCTTGGCCATTTTGGTTAGGGATCAGATTTAATCATGTTACTGTTTCAGTTTGCTAAGCTAATTACTATGCAGTAAGATGAACAGCTATTCCCTGAGCTCCCCCTACTGCCTTCGTCATAAGCAGTATTCTATTTGTGTTCTTTCAAGTAGAAAATTAATATGGCCATTGGCCAAGAATTGTCCAAGGTTGATAGATCACACAATGATGGTGAGAAATGAGGAAAATGATGACAGAAACCATTGAAGTCAGAGGCTGACAGCCATTTTCTTTAAATCTGTTAAGAAGCCAAAGAAGGAAGAGAAGAAGTATTTAAATATAGGATGATTAAACGAGTCATTGTGGGGATGAGATCATTCTTAATCGTGATACTCAGTTCTGTGACCCTGTAGCTGTGTCTTCAGTTCCCAGTAATCAAAAACCTAATGTGCCTGGGCCTTTTCAAATCCAGTGTGACTTCCTAGGAATGAAATCAGTGGTGGTATACCTCAAAACCACTGATTAATGAAATCACATGTTTGCAGAAAATAGCAGTTGTTTTGTTTCCTTGAACTACAGATGACTGAAACTTAATTCCAAAACCCCAGGAACTCTGCCTGCATCCAGACTGTACTACATCTTCCTTGGGTTCAGGTGAAGGTTGTTTTATTCTTTGTATTAATCTAGTTGAAAAGAGGAGTGCCTCCAAAACCTTTTATTATGGTTTAGCTGTTTGCTAACGGACACAGGAAGGCTGCCAAATGCAAACCAGCTTGTGCCAGATGTGAGTGGGTTAATATAGGACTTCTCATAAAGGACGGGGAAAGATTATTTGCTCTTTAGTACTCTCTCCTTCAAGCCTTTATAGCATTTGTGTATATTTTATAAAGACTTATCTATTTATTTGAAAGGGTTATACAGAGAGAGAGAGAGACCCATTGGTTTACTCCCCAGATGGCCACAACATCCAGTACTTAGCCAAGCTGGAGACAGAAGCTTCAACTGAGTTTCCCACGTGGATGACAAGAACCTAAGCACTTGGGCCATCTGCTGCCTTCCCAGGCTATAGCAGGGAGCTGAATCAGAAGTGAGACTTGAACTGGCTTAGCACTCATGTAGAAAGTATCACAGGCTGTGGTTTTACTCACTATACCACAATACCAGCCCCTGCACCATTTATATCTTTGATAAATTATTCCTAAATATCCATAGCTAAATGCACATTTTCTTGGTTCTGTATATTTGTTTTATTTTATTATTTTTTTCCAGCGGCAAAGTAATATTTATTTGAGAGAGGGGGAGGTCTCCTGCCAATGTGACAGGAAGGTGCTCCTAAGGAGGAAAGACCTATTTTATTATTGTAACAGTGATTACATGTGGCTTTGTTTTTGCCACATGTAATATGCAGTACTCTACATATCAAGTACATTAGACAATCCCTTCCATGAAGTCACATGACTATATTAGTTAGTGCACATTTCAAATATTCTTGAGCAAATCACCTGAGTTTCTATCATTTCAATTTTATAAAGTTGGCCTCCTCTTGAGATTTTGTTTTCGCCTGAGGAGGGAAGTCCTCTTCAAAAAATGATCCCCTCTACAAGACTCCCGTAGCACCTGCCTATCACAAGTCCATTTTTAACAGTTTGTTACAATGTTAATTTCTTCTCAGTGTAACTTTCATGTTAATAAGTACTGCTCTCTAAATAATTGACATCCTTAGTCCAATCAGTCTGATGAAGCTTCTCTGGTTTAGATCTACTAGAGGCAGAGATCTGGCAGATTGTTTCCCTATTATTTGACAGCTGTTATTAAATAATGCTAGAAAATATTGGCACTGACTTCTTAAAAGCAACCAAGATACTAGGTTTTTTGGAGCCTTTAAGTTTGGGGATTCAAGAAAACTCCTGAACTGGCTTGGTTGAGGATCTTGTCTCAGACACAAGAAGGAATTTGAGGACAAGAGGTAGGTTACGTCAGCAGAGAAACAAAATTTATTTTTCATGCAAAATCAAAGTACACACTTGAGTGTAGGCATACTCGGTGAAGTCGGTCTCTTTA